ACTTAGGAAAGAGGCAGGGAAGAAGGGATAGAGACTGTCTGGCTTCACCGCTGTGAGGAAGTTTTGTTTCACAGCCACGTCTCTGTTCCCAGGCCAAGAGTGAGTGTATTTTTGGCGGAACTTAAAAATAACTGGATTAAAGGATCAGGTCACCTATTACCTGGGGGAAAGGGTTTCTAATTTAAATACTGTGCCGTAGGAGGAAGTAATCTGGGTTATTCAGAGTGAGGAAACCTGGTTGCAGAAAAGGCGCCTGATGTTTGGATAATTTGGGTCACACTGCATGAGCCAAAGAGGTCGAAGTTGGTAACGGATATTGTCAGGAGGTAACTGGCCAGCTTGGGGTGGGCAAGTTGGGGAGCTGAGGACACAGCAGGCCTGAGTGGAAGCTTCAGCTTCACGCTTGTCCTTAGAGTGAAGGACCTCTTCTTGATGTCCCCCGGGCCCCGCCAGATCTGCCAAGGAAAATGCATTTTTCTTTCTGTCCTGATACACCCAGCACTAGGCCCCCGGAGCCCTGTGGGGGAACAGCGCATTCCCAGCCACTGCCTCAGCTGGCCAGGTATCCAGACCTGATGCATTTTCTGTGCAAACTAAATAGGCTTTTAGAATCTCACCCGTGCTGGGGGCTCTGTGGTGTAGGGAAGGGGTTCCAGCCTTTTTCCATGGCATCTGTTGCGATGACTGGGATGTTAATATCTTGTCATCAGAGCAAGCAGGGGACCTGCCTCAAAGGCCAGTCCCATGGGTCAAGGCCCTGGACTGAAAGGAAGGTTAGCACCCCTTTTCTAGCTGGAGTGTCCTGCAGGTAGAGCAGAAGGTAGGAGCTGGTACTAATCTCCAGGGAGCCTGTCTCTGGCTGGTTCTGGATAAAGAGAAGAAAAGGGATCTTTGATGCCAGGTCATGAGTCTCATGTGACTTCTAGAGAGTCAAGTGTGCAAAGGGTCACCCAGAAAGCTAAGCCAATGCTTTTTAAAGCCATTCATCCGATGTTTTCCCTGTCATTTTGGAAGCCTCCCGGCACTGAGCACACCTCTGGAAGCACTAGGCTAGGAAGACTGGCCTTCAGATCCTGGCTGTGCCACTTACTAGCCAGGCGATCGTGGGGAAAAAAATCTCTGGACTTCTCTAAACCTCTTATTCTAATGTTTTATATATTTTTTAAAGTAGAATTTTAAAAATTATTATTGATTTGAGAGAGAGAGGAAGGAAAAGGGAGAAAGAAACATCAATGATGAGAGAGAGTCATTGATCAGTTGCCTCCTGCATGCCCCCTACTGGGGATGGAGCCCACAACCTGGGCATGTGACCTGACCAGGAATTGAACTGGGAACCTCTTGGTTTATGGGTTGATGCTCATCCACTGAATCACACCGGCTGGGTGCCTTACATAATTATTAGACAAACACATCTGGGTCAGCAATGGCAGCTTTAGATGAATCCTGCCTACCACGTTATAGTAAAAGTGAAACAGAACAGTCAAAGGGTCTGGGCTGCCTGTCACTACTGGAGCCAATTAAGCAGAGACAGGGTTGATCATGTATGAACGTGTATTCCAATAATGCCGGCAGTATGGAGAGCAGCAGGTTACCTCGAATACTTGCTCTGCACCGCTTCCCCCCAAAAGCCCGCTGCTTATATTGGGTAGAAGGACAAAACTTACCTGGGGAAGCAGGCCAAAGGATTAAGAATAGGTATGTCCTAGATCAAATTCTGGTGCTCATGCAGGTATTTATTAAATACACATTTTATTTTTTAATAAATCTTTATTGTTCATATTATTACCAAAGTTCCTCATTTTTTCCCCCTCCACAGGTTCCCACTCCACCCTCTGCCCTTTCCCCACCTCCCACTATCCTCATCCATAGATGCACAGTTTATGTTCAGTCTCTTCCCGCACTCCCCACTTTTATTTTAAAATACACATTTTACAAGTACGTATAAAACTATTGTCTCTAGCCCAGACTGGTTTGGCTGAATGGATAGAGCGTCGGCCTATGGACTGAAAGGTCCCAGGTTCGATTCTGGTCAAGGGCATGTACCTTGGTTACAGGCACATCCCCGGTGGGAGGTGTGCAAGAGGCAGCTGATCGATGATTCTCTCTCATCGATGTTTCTAACTCTCTCTCTCCCTTCCTCTCTGTAAAAAATCAATAAAATATATTAAAAAAACAAAAACAAAAACAAAAAACTATTGTCTCTAACCTCAAAGAAGTCTCAGCTCTGCTGGATTGTAGATGTTGCAACTGCACCTTGCATGTAGACAGACGTAGCAGGATTGTTAACTCCATAGTGGGTGTTAAACAGCCACCGAACTCTGAACCAAAGGCCGGGCTTGGGGCTGTTTAGTTCTCAGACTTCATGCACCACTCCTACAGGTGTTCAAGCCAAAGTGCCCACACTGTTCATAGACCCTCCTCATAGGAGGTTGGGAAATATGTCCAACCCACACATTTGAACACCACCATTTTCTAACAGTTTATTATGCTCATTGACAAGCCATTCATTTCACAGATGGAAGTTCATTTCTCACCTTAATTGTGCCAATTAGCAAAGCCTCGGGGAGTTACAGAGAGCTCACCTACTGGAGGAAGGAAGCCGCCCCTTGGGGAGCGTGGAATTCCAGAGTAGATCCTGCTTGACCACTGTCTGCACGTACATCCCCGATGAGGATGGCTGTGTGCACCTGGAATAGAATTTAAACACACACACACACAGCTGCATGGCATTGTCTCTGCCCAAGTGTTTTGAAGTAAATGGTAGAGTAGACATCCGGACCAGCTGACAGCTATTCTGGGAAGACAGGTGCCACGCTGTGAGGGCTCCACGTGAGGCGGGAGCAGGGACAGCCGATGACTTCCCATGGGTCCCTTACCACCCTAGGTTTTCTCTGACCTTTGAAAGCCCAGTTTGGTGGTTCTTTCATGTCCTCTTGGTTTTTGTTTTGTTTTGATTAGGGCATAGTTTATTTCAGAAAGGGTTTTCCAGTCCATGTATTGAATATGTATTTTCTCTCTGAATCTGGAATCAGGTTCATGTTATCTGAAGCAAGGAGAAAATCCTGGTCTTTCTGATCTTCCGAGGGAGCCATAAGCATTTGTTGGTTTGGACAAGACATCGTTCAATGATGTCAGCCCAGACTCCTGCAAATTCTGACTACGGGGTTTCTAGCCCGTTTTCATGTACCTGTGTAGTCACCGATGGCTTTAATCACACCAGGCTTTCTTGCATGAAGGCGAATTCTTCCTGCTGGGAATGGAACCCGGGAATTTGCTCTTTTGGTAGGCTCTGGAACCTCTGATGCATGATTGTGAATCAACACTGCAAAGCTCTTTGTTTCTTTGAAGTATTTCTACCCTGATCAGGGTTTAGAGCTTGGAGCTGCTGCTCTCCGAAGAGGATGGAATGGTCTGGAAGGACCTTCTAAATTGATACCTGTCTTCCCAGAATAGCTGTCAGCTGCTGGTCAGGCTGTCTTATGGAAAGAAGAGGAAGAGGCGGGGCACAAGTAATGGACAGAAAGGAGAGCCTCTCTCCTGGTCACACCCTCCAGTGTCTAAATATGTACTTTTAGCCGAAACCGGTTTGGCTCAGTGGATAGAGCTTTGGCCTGTGGACTGAAAGGTCCCAGGTTCGATTCTGGTCAAGGGCATGTACCTTGGTTGCGGGCACATCCCCAGTAGGGGGTATGCAAGAGGCAGCTGACCGATGATTCTCTCTCATCGATGTTTCTAACTCTCTATCCCTCTCTCTTCCTCTCTGTAAAAAAATCAATAAAATATATTAAAAATAAATAAATATATACTTTTCAATGTGTTGTTGGAAAAGAGCCATCTCGCAGTACACGGGGGCTGCAGACTTTGGCCTTCACCAATAATTAGCACTGTAAAAGCCTCAGTTGGATGCATCGCAGAAGACCTAACGAATAGACTTCATGATTTCTGATGGAAAGGCGAAGGTAGTTTTTTGACGCTGCAAACATGTGCTGTGGCATTTTGCACTGGAACAGCTGTTGCCAGTTCAGAACGTATGCCTTGGGAAGAACTGCGGTAATGTTTAAGTTCTAACAAAGAAAGCTGTCAGGGCATCTTCGCGTCCTCTGTCCAACACTGAGCTGTGGAGTGTCCAGGACAAAGGGGCAGGCTGACGTGAGGAGCCACGCAAGCGCTCTTGGGAAATGCGGTAGAGGGAGGCTCAGGCACTGCTGTCTATAGGAGGTCAATGTGGGCAAGGTTTTTACTTCCCCCGGCTAGAATAGCCGTACTGCATTTGGCAGAGAATCATGTTTTCAAGGTTTGTTCGTGTAGAAGGCTCTTCTTTTTACAGCTGGGGACACATAAACACTGCTGTGACATTTGTGCAGTCATTTGCTGTGACTATTTTGCAAGTCTGCTACAACTGCTATAGAATGTCTTGTACTTTCGGAGATATTTGAGCATGTCTTCAAATGATCCGAGTCCTAATTCACTTTTGAAAAATTAAATTTATACTTTTTTTTATTTTTAAAATAAGTTTTTAATGATTTTAGAGAGAGAGGAAGGGAGAGGGCTAGAGAGATAGAAACATCGATGAGAGAGAGACATCCATCGGCTGCCTCTTGCACGCTGCACACGGGGGATGGAGCCCACAACCCGTCATATGTCCCGACCAGGAATTGAACTGGGGACCTCTTGGTCCATGGGTTGACACTCAACCACTGAACCACACTGGCCAGGCCCTAATTTACTTTTAAATTAAAAAAAAAAGGGGGGGGGGCCTAGCATCGATTGAACGGTCTCTGGATGCGTGGTAAACAGAATGGAATCTGTGAAATGGACAGGGGCAGGTACTGTCACCACCACCACATGAGCTTGTGGAGCCTTATGGGAAGGGAAATTCGAGAGGACTTGTCGTTGTTTTCTCCATGCCCCTTCCTGTTAGTTAACAGTCATTTTCTCACTCTTCACATCCATACGAGGTGTGGTGTCTAACCCTGCCTTTCATTCTCTCTTTGTTCCAGAAGCCTCCTCCGCTCTCCGAGGATGATATCCGGCTGAGCCAAGAGAGGGACCCCTGTAGTGCCAACCCCCTGGACGCTGTGATCAGCCCTCTCCCCTCCAATCACAAAAACATGGAAATTGAGGTCTCCGTGGCAGAATGTAAAAGCGTTCCCGGAATCGCCTCCGCTCCACATTCCATGGACCCCCCCTCCCCTTTCTACGCGCCCCCCCACAATGGCCTCCTCGCGGATCACCACGAGTCTCTGGATAACGACGTGGCCAGTGAGATCCGCTATCTAGACGAGGTGCTGGAGGCCAACTGCTGCGACTCCTCTGCGGACGGACCTTACAACGGCACGTCCTCCCCGGAGCCCGGCGCCGCCGTCCTGGTGGGCAGCCCGAGCCCGCCTGCCCACACGGCCGTCCAGCCGGAACCCACGGAGAGAGCCCCCGGCAGGCAGGTGCCTCCTCACATCGAGCTCAGCAAGAGCAACTCGGACACCATGGCGGAGGGCGAGAGAGCCAACGGCCTCTCCCCGGACCAGCCCAGAGAGCTGCTGGGGGACAGCCTGCAGGCGCCCGTGAGCCCCAGCTCCTCCACCAGCTCGTGGTGCTCGTCCCGGGATGGTGAGTTCACGCTCACCACGCTGAAGAAGGAGGCCAAGTTCGAGCTGCGCGCCTTCCACGAGGACAAGAAGCCCTCCAAGCTCTTCGAGGACGACGAGAAGGAACAGTACTGCGTCCGGAAAGTGAGGCCCACGGAGGAGATCCTGGAGCTGGAGAAGGAGAGGCGGGAGCTCATCCGGAGCCAGGCCATGAAGAAGAACCCCGGCATCGCGGCCAAGTGGTGGAACCCGCCCCAGGAGAAGTCCATCGAGGAGCAGCTGGACGAGGAGCATCTGGAGTCGCACAAGAAGTACAAGGAGCGCAAGGAGCGCCGGGCGCAGCAGGAGCAGCTGCTGATGCAGCAGCAGCCCCCGCCGCCGCTCTGCGGGGCCCCCGCCTCCCCCCGGGAGCCTTCTGGCACGGCCACCAAGACGAAGGAGGACATCGTCACCGAGCAGATCGACTTCTCTGCTGCCCGCAAGCAGTTCCAGCTCATGGAGAATTCCAGGCAGCCCTTGGCCAAGGGCCAGAGCAACCCCAGGCTCTTCTCCATCAAGCCATTCTACAGGCCCCTGGGTTCCATCAACTCAGACAAGCCACCGACCATCTCGAGGCCGGCTTCCCTCGGGGGTCCCGCAGAAGACGGGGGCACCTCGGCGGCCAAGGGGCAGAAGGCCCCCGGTGCCCAGGAGAGCCAGCCTCCGGGCGGAGGCCAGGGCGGCGCCGCGCCTCCGGGGAAGGACGGGCCGTACAGCGAGCCCTGCAAGCGCGGCCCCCTGTCCAAACTGTGGGCCGAGGACGGAGAGTTCACCAGCGCCAGGGCCGTCCTCACCGTGGTCAAGGATGACGACCCTGGGATTTTGGATCAGTTCTCGAGGTCTGTCAACGTCTCTCTGACCCAGGAGGAGCTCGACTCTGGCTTGGAGGAGCTGTCCGTGAGGTCCCAGGACACCACTGTCCTGGAGACCCTGTCCAATGACTTCAGCATGGACAACATCAGCGACAGCGGGGCCTCCAACGAGACGGCCAACGCCCTCCAGGAAAACTCGCTGGCTGATTTCTCACTGCCCCAGACCCCCCAAACGGACAACCCCTCCGAAGGCCGGGGAGAAGGTGTCTCCAAGTCATTCAGCGATCATGGTTTCTACTCCCCTTCCTCCACGCTGGGAGACTCTCCGTCGGCCGAGGACCCCTTGGAATATCAGGCCGGTCTCCTGGTCCAAAATGCCATCCAGCAAGCCATAGCCGAGCAGGTGGATCGCGCTGGGTCCGGACCCAGCAAGGGTGGCGCAGAGCAACAGCCGAGGCCCAAAGCGACTCGAGAGGAAGCCGGGGCGGGGGCTTCTCGCTCCGAGAAGCCCCGGAGCACGTTTGAACCCCCTCAGGTGTCCTCCCCTGTTCAAGAGAAAAGGGATGTCTTACCAAAGATCCTGACTGCCCAAGACAGGGCGCTCAGGGAACGGGGACCCTCCTCCCCACCGCCCGCCGTGCAGCCCAGCGGCCCCATCGACATGGAGGAGACCAGACCCGAAGGGAGCTATTTCAGCAAGTACTCGGAGGCCGCGGAGCTGCGGAGCACAGCCTCGCTCCTGGCCACGCAGGAGTCTGACGTGATGGTCGGGCCCTTCAAGCTGAGGTCGAGGAAGCAGCGGACTTTGTCCATGATCGAGGAAGAGATCCGAGCAGCCCAGGAGAGGGAAGAGGAGCTGAAGAGGCAGAGGCAGGTCTTGCAGAGTACCCCGAGTTCCAGGGCAAAGAACGCCCTGTCGCTGCCCTCCCGAACCTCGTGCTACAAGACCGCTCCAGGTAAGCGCACCGCCGCCCGCCGGAGGCAGGTGTTACCAGTGGATTTCAGCTCACAGGTATCCAGGCGGATTCTCCTCTGGGTGTGGCTGGAATACGAGTCCGGGCTACCCAGGCGCGGGGACTTCAGCATTTGTTTCATGCGTCCTCTGGAGGAGCCCTGAGCCTGGATGGTGTTAGCCCTTTCCCAGAGGAATGGAACGCAGTAGGCCTGTCTCATTATCCTGCTCTGGTCTGGGTTTAGGGCAGAGGATTGTTCTCTCTTATTTGAAGGGGCTGCTTCTTGGCAATGGGAGTGACTGGGTGGGACCGTTGGAGTCCACAGCTTGACCCTTAGTGTCTGTAGTTAAACCAACCCAACTGATTTGGGGAGTGTGCACTACTAACCCCTCCTGATGCGAGGTCCCTTCCCACCAATGACGGTCATGACTCGGTGCTGCAGATTGACCCACAGACGATGCTTTTGTCCGTCTTCTCTGTGATTGGCTTTGCCTTTCATCCTCACATAGCAAGTACTTTGGAATTAGGGGTGGTCTCCTCTATTCGTGTTCTATGATCCATTTGGAGAAGCTGAGTTGCTAGACAAAAAGGCAGGTCTTTCACCCTCTCTCATTGCCTGGGCAGTCCCTTTCTGGAATACTTTGTATAGGTGCTCGATGCTAATGATATGGTCATTATTATTGCTGCCATGATGAGTGACAAGGTAGACCAGTAGCTTTTATTTCCCATTTGGCTATGATTGCGACCTCCTGTCACGGAGAGATGCTGCAGACTGTGTGGCCTCAGCTAGTCTGTGAGGTGTTTGTTATGGGGCTGTGCTGACATAAATACAGTGAGAGTAAGTTCTGGAAACTCCTGTAGCAATTTGATGTTGTCCTCCAATCCAAGTGTGGGACTTTGTAGTTTTAAAAAGTATTGGCCTGAACAGGGAAAAAAACTGTTTCTTCATCAGAAATAATTTCAAAGTATTACCCTAATGCCGTGGTCGGCAAACTGCGGCTCGAGGGCCCCATGTGGCTCTTTGGCCCCTTGAGTGTGGCTCTTCCACAAAATACCACTGCGTAGGTGAGTCTGTTTTGAAGAAGTAGCGTTAGAAGAAGTTTAAGTTTAAGAAATTTGGCTCTCAAAAGAAATTTCAATCATCGTACTGTTGATATTTGGCTCTGTTGACTAATGAGTTTGCCGACCACTGCCCTAATGTATATTTTAAATCTTTGTTGTTGAAAGTATTACATATGTCCCCTTTCATCCCCCATTGACCTCTTCTAACAGTGCTTCCAATTCTCAACACTCTCTTGACGCTTGGCTTCCATCAGATCAACAATGGTGCAAGGGAACTCTTTTTGTTAATAATTTTCAACCTAAAGAAAAGTTGCCAAGTTTAAATACCTTTTTTCATTCTGAACGATATGGGAGAAATCTATGTTTCTGCTTTTACTTTCTCTCTTCCAAAGATGGAGGATGATAAGGTTTCTATTTTTAAAAGGATATAGCCATTTCCAAAGAACAGTTATTAGAAAAAACATCTGGAAGTCTTATCTTATTGGTTCTGGTGTGATGTTGAAAGAAAGGAAGAAGTTCTCCATAAATAGGGTCTGTGTTACCTTCGTTCACACAGCGGGGAACAAGGCAGTTCCTGCCTTTGGGAAACTTAGAGTTCAGGAAGAAAAACAACCCCACACGGAGGTGGAAGTTTCGTGACAGAGAAGCACGGAGACAAGCACAGAAGACCACCTCCCTGGGGGATAAGGGGAGTCTTCCTTTCTTGGGAAACTTCCCCACTTTGAACTGAGGGGGAGCTCAGGTTCAGGGGATGCAGGGAATTATTCCAGGAATAATTTCTGTAGGAAAAGCACCTATACAGGCCCAAAAGGAATAGAGAACCCGTCACATTTGAGGTGTTTATAGAAGGTCTGAGGGGGTTAGAGGAAGAAATCTAAAACAAAGCAAAATTGACTGGATCCAGACAACATTTAGGTTTTAGATATTATACTTTATCCCATGGTCTGTCGGAAGCCAATGAGGACTTTCAGAAAGGTAGTTATCTCTACACATCTCCAAGCTGTCCTGCCTTCACACATGAACTAATGGACTCAAAGTCTCCCTGCTCTAGTGAGTTCATTCCACCAGCTTCTACTGAGCACTTCTGAAGGCATGCCGCCAGCTTGACGCATGACATGTGTTCTATGAGATACCGTGCTCCCGAGAATGAGCACACATGTGCCTCCTGTGCCTGGTCCTTAGTAGAGTGTAAAGGAAGGGCTCCGGCAGGTGGACAAGCCTGATTTGAAGGTGTAACCCATTTACCGCCGGAAGACACCCTTGAGGAGGGAGTCTGGGAGGACAACCCAAACATTGTATTGAAGTTAACATACTATTAGACCTTTTCAAATTCAGGGTGTCAGCAGGCAGTTCTCACTTCAGTGCTGTAGTCTATTATTAGGTTTCCTGGTTTCACTTCCAACTTCGAGGCATGACAGAGAGACCCAGTTACCTAGGTGAATAGTTTAGGGGTTTTTTTTGGTTTGCTTTTTTTAAAAAGTTTAGTTTTTGAAATAGATTCTGTTTTCACGCCAGATGTTGACTGATCTACCGAGTCAGAGAAGTTGCCAGATACGTAGGACATTATGGAGCGTGGTAAAGGAGAAGGTGTGGTACTGAGTCCCATAACTTTGTAATATGTGGAAAGATGTGATAATGATATACATATTATAAAAATACAACTTCCAAGGAGTTTGGACTAATAGTATCAGTTTGAATTACAATGCACATGTATTGATTGTTACTCTATATATTACAAAGATTATTGGCTGAGTCTCTTTTCTTTCCTCTTCCTTATCTTCAGATATCAAAGGAAAAAGTCCTAGGGAAAAAAGAAAAAAAAAAAGGTGATGTCAGCACAATATTCATGAAGCAGAGCTTGGTGACTGGTTCCATGGGTATCCCAGTGAGGGGTATGTCTGCTACTCTGTTGCCTGGACATTCTCTGGTGACACAGGCTAATCATGGCTTTGACTGACCAAGGTCTTAAAGCTGTGACCTATGCTACCGATTTCACACACATTTTCTGTTTAATCCCACAACGGACCCCTCACAATCTGGAACCCCTTGGGGGATGTCAGAGAGCTAGATTCGGCCCAATCCCCGCAGGCCAGGGCGACTTCACTCCCGAGAAGACCCCTGTCTTTTCTTCCGTGACAAGACTGTGCTCGTGGCTTCTGGGAAGCAGAACTCTGGAAAACACACATTTCTCACCAGTATTATTCCCTTCTGTGAGCGGCTCCTGTTGTCACTGCTCATTGTGCTGGGTCTTGTGATATATCCTGGGGTCTGGGTTGGCTCTCAGGGGGCTTATCCCTTGCTGGGGACCCCCCAGGGTGTCCTTGTGGCTTGCCTTTTACCCCACGTACCCAGTTAGGAGGCTGGCTTCTGAGAAGTCAGACTTAACCACACGCAGAGAGAGATGCAGTCTTGAGAAAGAAAAAGATGAATCAAAGGACCGAATTCTTGCAAGATCCCTGCTTTATGCCTGGTAAGAAATGTGAGCTAATCAAAGCCAGGCTGGGGAACAGGATGTCCCCATGTCTGCGGGGGCTCAGGGCAGGATATGAGCGTGCCTCTCACCAGACGTGGTGATTGCTGTGTTCCCCACGGAGACTGGCATTTCAGATCCGTTTGATGTTGTGAAGAAGCTGCTGCCCAAGGGGTGGAAGAGCCAGGGGTGGTGGAGTGGAGAGTGTGAAGGACAGACCATTAGGTCCCCAAAGGACACGTTTATAGTTTGTGTAATGTATTTCTCGTGAGCCTGAAGGTAAGCATCAGAGATTTCCCAAAACGTGTATGCATCTGACCTGAGAGCTAGCCTCCGTTACTCAGATACTCAGATAGAAATCCACACTTTAGGTGAAAAAGCTGGTCAGAGAAAATTACGGACCTCAATGTGACAGCCACTTCTCTGGAATTCTATCTAAAGCTCAAGTCCTAACTCCACTGCTTCCTAGCGGTCTAAACATCAGTTTCCTCACCAGTAAAATGGGAATAAAATAGTACCAGCCGCATCAATTGGTTTGGACAGTGCCTGGCACACAAAAGGCTCCCAAACAGAGTTACTATGGTTGTAGCTGTTGTTAGTTACCGATATGTCTTAAGAAAAGGCAGAGACCACCTTAGCAGGATTACTTAGGAGTCACTCCCCTGCCACTGCAGGAGAAATTAATGGCAGGATATGCATTATAACCGCTTTCTGGATGGGATTTTTTTCACTATTACTTAGAATTAAAGTTTCTCTTACAAAATCTGAGTTCAGGAATTAGTTTTCAATAGCCAACTATGATTTCAAAAAAAAAACAAAGCCCATCATTGAGTGCATTGGGTGACAATAAAAATGACAAGTATTACCATGAAAACATTTCCCTTTTGGTTCTTTTTCTTTTATGAGGAGTAATCTTCACAAAAAAAGATGTGTTTAACAAAAAGATTTGGAAAGGGAATTACTGTTAACCACTATTTTCATGCTTTCATGATTTTAAAGAATATAGGGAGAGAGAGAGAGAGAGAGAGAGAGAGAGAGAGAGAGAGAGAGAGAGAGAGAGAGAAGCATCAATGATGAGAGAGAATCGTTGATCGGCTGCCTCCTATATGCCCCCTACTGGCGATTGAGCCTGCAGTCCAGGCTTGTGCCCCAACTGAGGATCGAACCATGACCTCCTGGTTCATAGGTCGACCCTCAATCACTGAGCCATGCCGGCCGGCCAGGCCATTTTTATGCTTTCTGTTTCAATTAAATGTTTTCTGTTTTGGGCTTCCCCAGGGGAAGCAGAGCTCTTTCCTTCTAGCGTTTGCATCTTCCAGTTTTGTTCATAAAGAAGGACCCAATCAGCGGCTCACCAACACCCGGCTGACCTTTAAGTAATGCCATTTGGGTGTTTCTCCAGGCAGGCTATTTCTCATTTCTGAGCTCGGCTTCTAATGTGAAGATTCAGAACACCATGTTCTCCCTCCGC